GCAGAAAGTTGAGGAAGATTCATTTAATGATACGAATTGTCCTTATTGTCACCTACCAAGACTCATCAAATGTGGTAGGCTGGCTATTTTAGGTGAGTACAGAGTCAAAGGAGATATAAATGATACAGAAACATGAAAAAAAATTTTCATTCACCATTTCATTTACTATTGATGTTAAAAGCCACAAATATATGGGGGGAAACTTCTGTAAGACTGTATGATTCATATGGCTGGATGAAGTCATATTGTCTTCTAGGGATTACGGTTTAAGTATGTAAGAGTGGGAAGCATAGACATGTGTTGGTTTGAGGGATGTAATGAGGTTAAGGTGTCCTCAAGGGTTCCCACGTGGGATGTTTCCAGTCCACCTGCATAATCCAGCTTCACCAATCAGCTCTCATTCATCAGTGCACAGGTCAAGAGCACCCTGTGGTCAAGCTGTGGCCCATCTGCTGAATGTTCCTTGTATGTCAGGGATAGTAATAACAGGTGAGATTAAAGGATAGTGTGGAATGGCCCCTATCCTTGAGGAACTTGTACTAGTAAAGCATAAAAAACCAAACAATATTCATAACATTGTAAATATTGCTATTACAAAATTGTGTACAAAATACTAAAAGAGGAAGAAGACAAATAAATATAAGCTGGAAAATCTTTTAAAAGTAAATGTGACATTTCCTGAGTCCTGAAGGTTGAGTGGGCTTTTGCAAACTTGAGAAAAGAATAATATATATGAGAAGAAAATATTAAAATGAGTTCATTATGTCTGATGTTTAGAAATCTTGGGGTAGTGGTGGGGATGAGGATGAAAACTTCCTGGAAGTAATACTGTAGATGGCCGCAGAAACCTTGATTTTCATTTGTGGGTCATCGTGAGCTATAGAAGGTCTTGAAATAGACTAGCAATCTAATCCAAATGTGTGTTTTAGAATGATTACTTTAGAGAGTTTGGAGTGGTAGGAGCTCATGGGTAAAGGATATATTTAAGAAGTTATTCCAACCAACTTGGTGAGAGATTATGAGAACCTGAACCAGGATAGCAACAAGGCAACTAAAAAGAGGTGGTTGAATGTGAGAGATATTTAGAATACAGGATTGATGTGACTTTTTGTATCAGTCAACTTTAGCTAGCATAAGACTTAGTACAAAGAACCTCACAATCTCAGTGGCTCACAGGAACAAAGCTTAATGAATGGTTCACTGTGTGTTACTTGTGGGTCAGCTGCCATCCCAACACTGTGGCTCTGCTGTTGCATACAAGTGGATTCAGGTCTGCTCCCATGAGTTGTCTCTTCATTCTGAAACTTGTGTCTGCTTCACATTATGGAATAAAACCTGAAAGGACAACTGCTATCTGGTATGTGCAGGGAAGAAACAAAAGAAGGCATATCATGTAAATATATTTAGTTTTAACTAGGATATAAACATGGTCACATTGTTACATCCAAAGTCCACAGTGTGGTGAAGTATCAGAAATACACTCTGGCTAAAGGTTAGCATAGCAAGAGTGAGAGAGAACAAGTCGTCAACAAACAATATACACTATTGTTCTTGGGCTTTCCAGGTGGCACAGTGGTAAATAATCTACTTGCCAATGCAGGAGATGCAAAAGACGTAGGTTCAATCCCTGGGTCAGGAAGATCCCCTGGAGAAGAAAATGGCAACCCACTCCACTATACTTGCCTGGAAAATTCCATGGACAGAGGAGCCTGGCTGGTCATAGTCCATGGGGTCGCACATGCACGCTTGGAAATGAGCTACATGAGAGTGAACTTATAGGGCAGTCACAGGTTAACCATTTTAGGGAAAAGAAGATTAACTTCAAATATTTAAGAATGGTTTTTGTGAAGACCTAGATGAAATCAATGGTAAAAATAACTTGCTTTTCCCATTTTTCTCTTTTGTTCTTTTTGTAAAATTTGAAGAACATGCCTTAAGTGAATTAGTTGCTCACAGTAACAACCTCTTGTATAAGATCTTGTCCCCTTTATCAGAGCAGATGGTTCTGTTCTGGTGGTGAAGTATTTATGGCTGCTAAGTTTCCAGGTTCACACTCAAATACTTGGCTCACAAAGTCATAATAGTGAGAGATTTGTGATTTAAAAAAAATTATTTTAGCTATCACTTAATTTTCTTCAAGTGCATGTGACTACATGATAGAGAAAACTAAAGGGCTAGAGTCCACCATATCAAAACATGTCACTTTATACTTGAAATTCAGAAGTGAAATCTTTCCCTCCACAATACTCAGCAATCAAAATCATTTTGGCTGCTGACTTACAGCTATTCAGAATGGTCCAGAATCTTGCTGAAAAGCCATATACTTTGAATCTTTATTTTCTTTCCATGGGTGTCACAGCAGTCTCCAAATGAGCCAGACTGGACTCAATTTTCCATCTACTATCTTTTAAACACTGTCCTATGGCTCCTTTCTTTCTTGTAACTACCCCAGTATACAAGTAACAAAACTAAGATTAAAATATTTATTAACTTCTTTTTGCTGTAATTCAGTTGAGTTGGAATATGCATATGCCTACCCTCTTATATGCCTTTATATTGCTTTACTTACCAGGGGTTATTTCTACTTTCCAGGTTATGGTTATAATTGAATTACATACATACTCAAATAGTTTTGCATAATACATGCTGCATAGTACATACAATACCAGAGAAACACCAAGAAAAAGTTGAAGAGGGTAGACAGGGTAGGAAATTCAAAAATGACTTGAGCTGTGCATAGTAAATATTTCTATGAGATGAAGCTCATAGATTTTCTTTTTGCCTTTTACTTTCTATATGAAAATTAACTTTTACAAAGTTAATTGATTTTACTTTTGTAAAGCTTTTTATTTTATATTCCCCTAGAGTAGGAAATGGCAAACCACTCCAGTATTCTTACCTGGAAAATTCCATGGACAGAGGAGCCTGGAAGGCTACAGCTCATGGGGTCACAAAGAGTCAGCATGACTGAGTGACACATACAGCCAATCAACAACGTTGTGATAGTTTCAGGTGGACAGTAAAGGGACTCGGCCATACACATACATGTACCCATTCTCCCCAAACGTCCCTCCCACATAACAGTGAGCAGAGTTCCCTGTGCTATACAGTAGGACTTTGTTGGTTGTGCATTTAAAATATAGCAGTGTGTACATGTTGATCCCAAACTCCCTAACTATTCTTTCTCCTCATTCTTGCCCCCTGGCAACCATATGTTCATTCTCTAAGTCTGTGGATATGTTTCTGTTTTGTAAATAAGTTTATTTGTATCATTTCTGTTTAGATTCTGTGTATAAGGAATGTCACACAATGTTTCTCCTTTTCTGCCTGATTTGCTTATCTCAGTATGATAATCTCTAGGTCCATCCATGTTGCTGCAAATGGCATTTATTTCATTCCCTTTAATGGCTGGGTAAGACTCCACTGTATACCTGTACCACATCTTCTTTATCCATTCCTCTGTCAATGGACATTTAGGTTGCTTCCATGTCTTGACTATTGTGAATAATGCAGTGAACATTGGAGTGCATTTATCTTTTTGGACCATGTTTTTTCCTCTGGGTATGTGCCCAGGAGAGGGATTGCTGGATTATATAGGAACTCTACTTTTAGTTTTTTGAGGAATTTCCATACTGTTTTCCACAGTGACTGCACCAATTTACACTCCTGCCAACAGTGTAGAAGAGTTCCCTTTTCTCCACATCTTCTCCAGTGTTTATTGTTTGTAGATTTCTTTGATGATGGCCATTCTGACTGGTGTGAAGTGATACCTCACTGTCATTTTGATTTGCATTTTTCTAGTAATTAGCAATGTTGAGCATCTTTACACGTGCCTGTTGGCTATCTGCATGTCTTCTTTAGAGGAATTTCTATTTAGGTCATATGCTCATTTTCCTACTGGGTTGTTTGCTGTTTTGTTATTGAGTCATATAAGCTGCTAGTATATTTTGGAAATTAAGCCCTTGTCCATCACAACATTTGCAAATATTTTCTCCTGGTCTGTAGCTTAGGTTTTCGTATTGTTTATGAATTCATTTGCTGTAAAAAAATACTTGTAAGTTTATTAGGTTCCATTTGTTTATTTTTGCTTTTATTTCTATTGCCTTGGGAGACTGACCTGAAAAAACACTGGTGAGATTTATGTCAGAGAATGTTTTGCCTATGTTTTCTTCTAGGAGTTTTATAGTATTGTGTCTTATATTTAAGTCTTTAAGCCACTTTGTGTTTATTTTTTTGTGTGGTGTGTGAGAGCATGTTCTAACAGCATTGATTTACATGCAGTTCTCCAACTTTCCCAATACCATTTGCTGAAGAGTGTCTATGTCATAATACATTTGAGAGATGAGCGTGGTTTGACCAAAAAAGTAGCAGTGAAAATGGCAGCGGTGGTTCAATTTGGCATTAATTTTTAAGATATGGCCAACTGGGTTTCTTTCTGAGTTAGATGTAGGCAGTGAGAAAACAATAAGAGTCAAAGATCACTAAAGTTACAGCAAGAGCTGTGGACAGCATGGAGGTACTCTCAGCTGTAAACGAGAGCTGTGGGAGAAGTGTGTTGGAGGACAGCTCAGAAGGTGAACGGTCAGAAGGTTAGTGCTGCTCACATTGAACTGGGGCTTCCCAGGTGGCTCAGCGGTAAAGAACCCGCCTGCCCAGCGGGAGATATGGGTTTGATCCCTGGGTCGGGAAAATCTCCTGGAGAAGGAAATGGCAACCCACTGAAGTATCCTTGCCTGGGAAATCTCATGGACAAACGAGCCTGGGGGACTGCCATCCAGGGAGTTATAAAAAGTTGGACATGACTTAGTGACTAAACAACAACAACAACACTTAAAAAAATCCTTCAGAATGCTATGTCACCACGAAAAGGAGACTATCCATACGCATCTATTCCAGGTCTGGTCTTGCATAGCTGTGAAACAAGGGACTCATTGAAAATCTTGTTTTTCCTTGGGACCACGCACTCCCCAGGACTCTGCTTCTCCTTCTTCTCACTTTCATCAGATCAGAGACCTCTCTAAAACTAGGTCAGGCTGAGACTCTGAGTGTTTTAAGCTACAATGTCTAGAAGGTTTTTGTTCAGCTCCCCCTGCAGACTCAGGCACTGTGTCACACAGAGCACAGAAGTACTTGGCAGAGTCACTCCAATGGGCTGAAGCTTTCATCAGGTGGAAGGACTTTTCATCCTTCTTGAATTCAGCCTCGAAGCCTTTGATGCCTTTAACCTGGGTGGGCCCTGATAAATACTTCAGTAGAACCTGGAGGCCTTGACTGGGGTACTGGACATACCAGAAGAGATTAATAGATCCACCATAAGAATAGTTGCATCTCAGCTCCAGACGGTTTCCTTCAGAGACGCTGATGTGACCGTCAGGCTGGGTCACTAACTGGGCTCCAGTTCCTCCTGCCATAGCAATGCAGCATTAGTGAATCCAGGACACACCTATCTATAATGAGACTGTGTTTCCATTCAGACACCCTCAGAACAAAATCCCTTCTATATAGGCAGAAGCATGGAATATAATGTTACTTACTTGCTGTGAAGAGCATTCCAAATAGCAGAAGAGTCACTGAGAGCATGGCTACACAGAGAGGAAGATCTCCCTTGAGGAGCAGGAAGGAATGTGCCAGGGTGTGCTGGGTATTGTAACTGGGAAAATCTGAGAGTTAAAGAGATCCCTGTTTAGGCAATCCTACATACTACCAGCAAGAAATGTTTCCTTAAGAATGACTGCTCCTAGAAAAAATAAAAAAGTAAAAGAATGACTGCTCCTGACCTTGAGCCTGTTCAAATACGCACTTCAATGAGCTGTAAGATAAAGAAGCTCATAGGAGTGAGATAGACACTTCCAGTTTATGCAACATCACCCTCTGCAGGTCAACAAAAGAAACAGATCGAGTCTTCAGGATTTTGTGCCCCATCGCCTTTCTGTTCCTATTTAGGCTTGAATCACTTAGCATTTTAAACTGATGAGAATGTTTCAGGGGTTTGCTTACTAAGAGGCTCTTTTAATACTATGAATTAAATAGCATTATATAATCACATAAAGTAAATTATCCTTATTTTTATAGATGAGAAAATTGAAGCAAGGAAGGAAGGATGTAATTTGTTCTAGATCACAGTAAGTGATCTGGAATTTGTCCCATTGGTATGATTCAAGAATCTGTATCGTTGGCCACTGACAATTCAGCACTATGGCCATTCGGCTAGATAAATCAAGTCCTTTAGAAGTTAAATGATTTGTCCAAGAACATATAAGGATTAACGCCTAATTCAATTAGACTCTACTATGTTGTCATCTGCTGACAACTACTGACAATACTACTCTTTAGAATAAATGTAATTTCACCAAGACACACATGCAGAGTAAACTTCACAACAGAATAGAAACTAAAGAAAATCTCCAAGGAACTCAAACACTGACGTGATGGCCAGTAGAAAAAAGTATCAGAGAAACCTCAAAGGTAGTCCAGAGAGGTACATGGCAAATCAGAATTGACTGGTGTCCTAAAAGAGAAGCAAAGTGGAGTTTCAAAGAGGAAGGACTGTCCATCAGAGCAGATGCTAAAAAATGTCTACCTAGTGAGATGATGACTGAAAAGTGTCTATTGACTTTTAGCAGCACAAAGATCATGATTTGAGTCGTTCAGCAGAAACTCAACTGTAGTAGAGACAAGACAAAGCAGAAAAGTTTTGGAATACAGAAATCTCCTTCCAGAGGCTGAACTGTGATGGGGAGAAAAGACATGGTGCTAACTAGACAAGGATGTTGAAGTGGTAATAGTAGAGGTTTTAAAGGTTGAGATATATTTACAAGTTTTTGGAAATGTTCTATAAACAATGGATCAAACTTCTGAAGAGACAGCCAGGATGGAATATGGACCACAGGTAGGAGAATTAATTTGTGAGGAGAAACAGTTATTTCTAATTTTATTGGAATGAAGGAGGAAAGAATTGGTTTGGATTTCAGTTTTATTTCAGGGTATGAAGGCAGAAAGTTGACACATCTATTAATTTTAATGAATTTTTTCTTCTTGTAGATAGAAATTAAGTACCTTCCAAGGTATTAATAGAAGAGATCCTGGGTTAAGAAATCTGATGAGTGTGAGTTTTTTTTTTTTTTTCAGCCTTCTGGTATACTTTTTTTTTCCCCATTTATTTTTATTAGTTGGAGGCTAATTACTTTACAATATTGTAGTGGTTTTTGTCATACATTGACATGAATCAGCCATGGATTTACATGTATTCCCCATCCCGATCCCCCCTCCCACCTCCCTCTCCACCCCATCCCTCTGGGTCTTCCCAGTGCACCAGCCCCGAGCACTTGTCTCATGCATCCAACCTGGGCTGGTGATCTGTTTCACCCTTGATAATATACACCCTATATGCAAAACAGAAAAAGAGACACAGATGTACAGAACAGACTTTTGGACTCTGTGGAAGAAGGCGAGGGTGAGATGTTTTGAGAGAACAGCATCGAAACATGTATATTATCAAGGGAGTGTGAGAAGTTTTGAAAAAGTCACTGTAGAAATTGACATTGAGAAATGATTACAGAGAATAAGAATACTTTCTTGGAACCACTGTGGGTTTAGTTAGTATTGGAGGTGATCACAATTTCAGTGACACCAGCCTGCCCATCTGTATGATTTTCTTGAACTCTGCTTTATCAAAGTATATAAAAAAGTAGAGTTTTTAAATTTGATCTTTATAATGACTGAACAGTATTCCATGGTATGAGTGTAATATAGTGTTTTTAATCATTACCCCAATGGGGTACATAAGGCAGATATTAATCCATGATTAGGAATTAATAAGATCATTGATATGACATAGAATTAACTCAAAACAATGAAGTTCGTGACTAAAGACTGATTGAAGGAGGGCTCTGAAGTTTAGATATTGTAGAAAGAGACAAAAGATTGGAAACTTCTGAGAAATAAGAACAATAAAGACATCTGGGGACTAAATGATCATAAAGAGTCAAAGCATGAATGCAGCAGAAGTATATGAGTGTAGGAATCTGAGGATGCAAGGTTTAGACAGGATGTAAGATTTCAGAGGTGGAGCGGCATCTACCTGGAGAAATATCATCACAGCTTTCTGGAGTGTGGCCATGAGAGTTTGTGACTTACAGGGATCCTAACTGATAGACTTCAAAGTTGATAAGTTCAGGTTTCTCTCTGAATTTAAGTCAAGGAGTACTTTAGGTTACAGTAGAATCTTATGTGTTTACATCTTCAATATATAAGGGAGAGTGAGGTGGTGTAGCACTGAATGATTCTCAAAAACACACGGGATCCTAAGAGACAGTGCGGGGAGGCTCCGGGAAGAGCAGCTCTGAGGAAACGCGGGTGCGTGTTTGTTGGTAACGTGTCAGGTGATCTTTTTTTTTTTTCATTTATTTTTATTAGTTGGAGGCTAATTACTCTACAAAACTTGTCAGGTGATCTTTAACTGAGACCAGGAAAGCCAGACGGAGGCCAGCACTCTGGGGTTAAGGAAGTGACCTCCTGGAGGTCTGGAGGAAGTCTCACCAGAGTCCTAAAGAAAGGGGGGCTTGTTTATCATGCAGAACAGCATCCTGCAGTGCTGAGGTGTCAACCAGAACATCTAACTTAAAGGCAGGGGAGAGCAAGCAAGGAAGAGGGAGTGAGTGAGAGTCAATTCCAGGAGATGTTTCTGAGCAAACAGTAAAACATGTGTCTGATGTTTATAAAGATGAGAGTGATGAAAGGACTAGAGAAAAGTAGGGGTAAAAGGCAAAGTCTCAAAGGGTCAAAGACAAGAGTCCCTTTTTGGGGGGTGTGGGAGTGACAAGAATTCTGTTCTCATCTCTAAATTTGAAGTGTTTTAGATGAGGGAGGACCAGAAGTAACCACAAGTGAAAGAGCTGCATTACAGTCAGGTTTCAGTTAAGATATGTGGAAGCAATTTTTACAGGGGCTACTGAATGTTTGTTTTCAATAGAATGAGGATTTAGAGGGCAAAGTAGAAAGCAGTATGGGATGGTAAGAGGTAGTTAGGTCAGTGTAGAAAATTCAACAGGTCAGACTCCTTGGTGAACCATTCCTCTCTGCAAGGAGTTAATCAGGGGTAGAAGGAAATGTGCCTTCAAAGGTCCTAGTACAGAGGAAGGCGGCCACAACCAGATCAGCTGGTGCTCAATTCTCTAAGAAGATGTCATAAATCAGTAAATTTTGGCCATCCCAATGGATTATTTTCAGAAGTTTTCTTTTCTTTGTGTTCAGCAAATTGTCTTTTCCATGTGCCATATGTATACACTTGTTACTTGTTTCTTATAACCCTCTTATATCTTATCTACTTCAGGGGGCAAGTCAATTTGAAGTCACTTAGTATGTTGCACATTTCACGCAATTCTGATATAATGAATTAGATATGCTTCTAACTTAGACTCAATCTCTCAGATATGCCTAACAGATGGAGTTTGTGAAACATTAGAATCCTCAGTGTGGCACTGTTCACATCGTATTCTCCATGTTCAGAAAGACAGAAACTTGTCCTGGTGTGTAGGGTGTATATGGAAATGTAAATAGCTATGTTTATCATACTTTGGAAATTGTTTTGAGCCTGTGAGTGAAATCTGAGGTAACAGATACTTGTACTCAAGTCTTGGAAAGCACAATGAGAGGTGCTGTAGCACTTTCCAAAGATCAGCATATCCCTTCAGGACACTTTCAGTCACTTTTTCCCTCATTTCCTCCCCTTCCCAGTTTTAGAGCTCACTTGCTTATTTCCTCACTTTGCTTTTCCTAAAACTTGTCTTTTTGTCTGTTTTATTTGTTAAAATGTCCTCAGTAATTAGCATAGTACCTGACAAATATTAGCTGCTCAATAAACATTTATTGAATAAAGAACTTTTCTTGGCTGAACATTTTACTGACAATTGCTAGGGATACAACAAAATATAGAGGGCATGAGTTAGATCTTCTAAAAACATAGAAGAAAGAGTCAAAGGACATCACATGGGATCTCATAATGAAGACAAGAATGTATTCCAAAATCCTTATTCATTCACGGACTCATTAAATTTTTCCTTCCTATTTACCTTTTTCTTTCCTTCATCCAACCCTCTCTCTTTTTCTTCCTTCCTCTGTCTATTCCCCATTCCAATCATTATTAAATGTGAAATTGGTCCCCAACTATTTTGTTAGGCTCTTCCTGTGAACTTCAGTTCATTCCAATACACACTTCTCTTTATCTCTGACATTCTTCATAGACTGTGATAAATGGCATAGATTTCTGCTTGTTTTATTAAAGTGTTTAATTATTGTTTGTCATAAGGTTGACACCAGATCATTTGAAAGATGATGATTGCATGTAGCTAGATAGAGTCCCCTGGAAAGACCCGAGGAATTCTCCTAACTTCGCATAAAAGAATAACAAAAA